TTGAGCTCTCCTAATTTTCATTCAGGAAGTCTGGATGGGAGGGAAGCCCCCTAGTGTGATCGCAAAGAATTTATGTCCCTCTGTGCCACTTCTGTGTTGTTTTACCTGCAAATGCCCATCTCCCTCACCATTCCAAAGCAAGGCTAAGCTTAAACATTATCCACCTAGCTCAGCTAGAGCTGGGCCCTGGGGACAGAGGTGGGGGTTGGAACCATTGGCCTGAATTCTCTCTCAACTGTCCACCAGGTTTTAAAAAATAGGCCTATGTATTTGAGGGGCAGCAAGCCAAAAAGAAAGTAGCGCCACCAGCTGCCAGTCTCTTTTTGTGAGCCCGCACCTGTATACAGGAATATCTGTTCTCTTTGTTCATATTCTCCCACCATGCGCCCCAGGGCAGCTCACTCTCTTGTTTCAGGTGTGTTCAGAGATGTGTCTGGAGGCAAGTGCCATGTTAGTGACCCTTTCTGGACCACGACTTCGACTGCTACTGACTCTTATCTTCAGGGGGAGGCTAAAAAATTTTTTAAAAAGTAGAATCAAGCCTCAATCCGTCACCCAGACAAGCAGCATGCACATAGGAAGTTCCTCCTGTGTCCGGAGCTCAAGCTGTCCCCTCTCCAACCGCTACTCCCCATAGGGCCCCACTGCTCACTAATCCACCTCCCTCCAAAATGGCTACATCAAACCATGAAAAGAGGGGATGTATTCCTCATTGGCTAATTTGTTCCCACATCCACTCATTAGAATCACTGACCTAGTTATTATTGCTTCCGCTGTTTTCTCTTGCAGACGAGACCACATTTGGCAACACTAGAAACAACATTTTTGTGGTCACATCGGCAAGGATAAGAACAGGGTTGTTACTTTTGCTTTCTTGTAAACCTTTTGGTTTATAAACAAACTAGATGCATGCGCCTCTTCTTTCAACATCCCTCAAAGGGAAAGAAGCACAAGCAAAATAGAAATGCCATGTATGCAGCATAAAGCCTCATGTAGGAGTAAACTTTAACATTTGAAACTTTTCCAAAAAGAGATCATCTATTTCAAGTTCTCACTCTCACTGGCTCACTTGCTCCCTAAACATTTATTGAAAAGGTCACCTGGCTTATAGCCTCTTCCTCCTACAGTTTATTTTCTACATTCTCCCCTAAGTGACCCTAGCAACACTCGAGCTCATGTCTCTCTTCCCCAGTTAAGACCCTTTAGCAGCTCTCGATCACCCTGACTTCGAGAACAGCACGCACGTTTCACGATGAGGTTCCCGTTTACTCTCCAGCTTTTCCCTACCAGTCTTTCTCTATTTGTACTGAAATAATACCAAACAATTGATAGTTCCCTGAACACATCTGTCTGTTTCAGTCATCCTAGAATGCCTCAGAGAATACTTCTTCCTTCTCCTATCACTGGTGAACTCCTATCCATTTTTCAAAACCCAGCTTGGACTTAAATTCCCCCCAAAAAGTTTTCTGATCCAGAGTTAATAACTCCTTTTTCTATGCACTTATTTCATTCTACTCACTTATTTTCTTTGACAAATTCAGCAACATTCGACAAGTATTTACTGACCTACTTAACACATTTCAAGTACCGTGCTAGGAAATTTCATCATCACTGTTGTCATCCTGGCTAATACACAGATCTCACCATGCGCCGGGCACTGTTCTAAACCATATTCGTTTATGAACTCACTGACCTGAGCAACAACTCTGTGAAGTAGATACTCTTACTACCATTATTGTGTAAATGAAGCAGCGAAATCCTAGGGAGGTTAAGGAACTTGCCTGCGCTCACCCTGGCAGTTTAGCTTCAGAGTGCATATTCCAGACAGGCCTCGTCAGTAACAACTCTACTGGGCAAGACTGACACTAACAGGCAAATTATAATAAAATGTGATAAAAGAAGGAATACAAGATGCTATGGAAGCGTGCATCTGTAAACCTCATCTATTCGTTGGTGAGGCTTCCCTGAGGAAAGACATCTTAAAGCTAGGTTGGTGAAGGATGACCAAGGAGACGGTTCACTTCAACCCCTAGGTACCCCTAGTCTAGCTGAAGAAGACTTCAAACTACTGGAGGGAAGAGTCCTCTTCTTAGTCATCTCCATACGGCCGGACATACTCAATTGCTACACACAGCAAGCACGAGGAGACATTTATTGAATGAATACATAAATTAAAACATTAGATATCGTCTATGAGCTCTATCAGAAGCTTTAAATATTTCATTTAATCTATATATGACAATTCTGCAAGGCAGTTCTTTTTCCCTCCCACATTACTAATTGAGAAACTAATTTGCGTATTTCAAAATTCTTTGATGTTCCACTGCAGTTTCAGAACTGACTCGTGGACAGCTCTTTGACTTTTAAATAAATAATAATTTTATTTTTGAAATAAACATTCTTCACTGTGAAACTCTAAGTGTTTTGTCCTATGTATATTTTACAATAAATACCTAGGATTTTATTTTATAACATGCGGGTTTATTTCATCTGAGTATTTCTGTCTTAGTCCACTCAGGCTGCTTTAACAAAAATATCATAGACAGGGTAGATTAAGCAACATTTATTTCTCCCGGATCTGGAGGCTTGGAAAGCCCAAGCTCAAGATCCAGACAGACTGTGCATCTGGGGAGAACACGTTTCCTGGTTCAGAGACAGGAACTACTTATGTCTATGACTATGGCTATGTCCCTACCTGGCAGAAAGGGTGAGGCAGCTCTCTGGGGTCCTCTGTGTAAGAGCCCTAATTCCATTCAGGAGGCTCCACCCTTATCTCCTAATCACCTCCCAATAATTGCCATGTTGCCAAATCCATCGTCACTCCTGTGTCCTCCTTACTTGACGTGCACGCGACATTTGCTGTGACTGAGTGCTCCCTTTCATCCATAAAGCTTTCCTCTCCTGACTCCGGTGACATCACACTCTTACCTCGCAGTTACTCCTTCTCAGTCTCTTGCTGGCTCTTCTTCCTCCTCTGTCCAACTTTGAGGAGATTCCCACAGCCCAGTTCTGTCTACAGTCTTCAACTCACTAATGTCACTTAATCTCAAAGTTTTAAGTTTCACGTCTGAACTCATAACGACTAAGTTTATGTCTCCAGCCTAGACTCCATTCCAGACCAGTCTGTTCACCTGTTTACTTGACATTATCATCTAAATATCTATAGGCGTCTTGGGCTGGATCATTGTCACGCCCTCCAGCCAAAGGCCATCAGGAACAAGTTAGGTTTACGACTTGTTTCAGTAAGTGAGAATGTGCACCACCGAGAACCATGCGGCATCTCGGTAAGAGGGGATCCCAGATCTGGGTTCGTGTTACGTGGTTTAGGGAGGGGTTCGAGGAGGAGGGACGGTGCTCTGGACTGGAAGCTGCACGAAGGCAGGAGTAATTCTGTAATTGTGGATCTTAATGAGCATTATCTAGAAGGACTGAGTAGTACCTACTGGGCAGAGATTAACACTACAATTAGCGAAGCAGCAGCAGTCACTCGTATTGGCCAGGATAAGGAAACGTCTGCTCCCTTTCGTGGTTTGGACAACGCTTACGTTTAGTCTGTACCCAGACATGATTACAGAGTGGCCGTGCTCCGTCTTGATGCATCACGGTCTCTGCGTGGCCTCGTCCGATGCGGACGCTCGGTGGACCTTCCCCCCAACTTCCCGCCTACCTGCGTTCCCACCTCTGCACCTGCCCTGTCCTTCGCCTCGGGGCCTTCTTCTCACTCGGCTCCCATCAGCGGCGCCGCCTTCCCAGCCTCGGTCGCACCCTTCGATCGTCCTTCCCTCAGAGCACGGGGCAGATCCAGGCGGCGCCGCTCGCCCGCTCACGCCGGCCGCCTCCCCGGAAGCTGGCTTCGCGGAGGGAAGGCGCTCCTTTCCCGCGGCTTCACGCCGGAGGCCCGCGGGGGCCACGGGTCGTGCCGCGTGTGCCGAGGCCGGCGCACTGGCTGTCACTGGTCTCGTTCCTTCAAACACAGCCATGAACGACGAGCGACTGCCTTCTTGTGTTTGTTTCCAACGGGTACGGAGGGCACTCACCTAAAAGAACTACAAAGAACTAAAGCGGGGGTCAAAGTGAACGTCTTGCGCGGAGTGAGTGCCCAGTATCTCTGGCCACTGCGCGTCGGGATGGGCAGGGATTTCAGTATCTGAGACTTCTGTCTCTGGATTATCCTCTTTCCTGAAAATACTGTTGGATCCTTAGCCACACGGTTCACTCCATTTCTGGTAAAAGATCGTTCTCGGGCTTTACACCTGCGACCGCCCTTCCAGGCGGCAGGGCCTCGGGGAGGAAGCCCGCCACCTCGCGCCAGCGCCGGGAAGCGCGCTCCGC